GGAAACACTTAGATCGTTAAAGTTGCACACGCTTAAAGGCTTTGTTAGGTCACAAGCTAATTTAAGGACAGAGAAGCACTGCTCCAAAAGAGAAAAACAGGTTAATAATACCAGGAAATCTTCTGGAATAGGTTCATAATTAGTAAATCTACACTCCTCAAAGTAAATATCCTCACCTTTTCTTCAGTTTCCCTTTTCCCAGTTTTGCTGGTGGACTATGGTTCCTGGCTAAAGACAGGACAAACTGAAGACTTCCCCACTTACAAATCAGTGCCTGAACTTTACAGCAGCATCCAGGAGCCTGTTTGCTGCACTTACATCTTCCTGCAGCATTGCAGGACTGAGATGTTTCAGGGGGGTAGCTGTTAGAAGGTAACCAATGCTGAACATGCAATGTGGTGTGAACTCCCAAATTTTCTCATTACCAGCTGAGTGGAGTCTCCTGGATCATAAGTTTTTATTGAAGTACTTCTGACCTGTCCAAGTCCTGCTTCAGGTATTTAAGTGTCTTTCTGGATCCCAGTTGAAGCCTTGCATTCCTTATGGGCTTAGTGGGCTTAGCAGACTGTGGTTTAGGAGTCTATTAGACTCCTGATAAGAGTGGATCAAGGTCTTACGGACCTTTCGGAGTCCATAAGACCTTGACCCAGTCTTATCAGTCAACTCAGGCAAGGTTTTGGACTCAGAATCCCCTTATCTTAAACCCAAAAGCTTGTCCACTTTTTTCACTTATGTTAGTCAGTCTAATAAAGAATATTTCCTCTTATATCCTTAGATAGAAGTCCCTGCTGCAGCACTTGTAGTGCAGTATAAGAGCACAGCATTGTGCCTGCAATTGAGACCACACTGGTCTTACCAGCTTTACTCTTATGATCAAAGGTCAGCTGGTGCCTCTGAACCACACTGCATCCCACCAGCAGTTTGGCATCTCAGTTTCAGATCTATTTTTCAGAAGCTGGTGAGAGAAACTTGCCCAGAATCACTGTATTCAGTCAACCATAGTGGAAGCTGGAGAAAGAACAGTGTGATGGTCAAACGCCAGGTCTGGATTTAAGAACATGTAGGACATTTGACAAAATAACCATGGCGGGGCAAGCAGCTTCTTTGCAAAATTGCTCCAATGGCCTATCTGCAACTTCCAGGTGCTTGTAAAACAGCAGAAAGCACCCAAGGGCTTATATTTTTCTTTTTGTTTGACAGCCTTTACTCACCCCTGAAGCCTTTTTGTTTGACAGCCTTTCCCTTCCTTGCCGCTTCCAGGAAAAGCCTCTCTCTGGAGTAGCATGTCTTCATAGTTAAAGGATACATGTGAGCTGAGGACTGCAGAAACATCCTCATTGCTTGCCTCTCACCCATAGTAAACTGGGCACCCTACTCCATTTTTGGAGTTTCATTTGCCTCTGCTTCCACTGCCAACACCTACATGTCTTAGGTGGCTGCAGCCCATTTTCAACCATGCTTCAATGAAGAACAAAAAAAACTCTCAAGAGAGGTAAGTGGTGCTAAGGCTTCTTTAGAAGCAGGATTTAATAATCCAAATCACCACCTTTAAAAATCAGTGCCCTTGGGCCCCAGCCAGCCCTCAGCTCTGTCAACATCTTTACTGCCAACTTTACTAACAGTCACACAAATGTAAATCTAGTGTGAGAAGAGGATTAAGCCCATTCTGGTTTTAAGGCCTATGAAAGATCTACTGCCCTGCTACCACTGTGCAGTGATATGTAACACAGAAAAGGGCAATTCAGGCTGCTGTTGCATCTTCTAAATTTTAAAGGAAAAAATGTAATTCCAGGAACTTTACCAGCCACTGCTGTGTATATACATGCAAGGTTTCTTTTAAGTCAGAAGCTAAAAGCTTGTACCTTGCCAGATGCTGGTTGAAGCACATTAATTTTTTTTCCTGCAAAATAAGATTAGCAACAGCAATTTTCCATGCATTCAAGTTCAGGATTTTGTCTGCAAGAGGATTAAAGCTCAGGCAAACATGAGCCTGTGTGCATACTGCCCTACTCCTTGTACTGCTCTCACTTGCAATGAGACCTGTGCAGGGGACTATTTAGAAATCCCTCTCAAATTATTATTTCTTCACTGATGAGTTGGCTGAGATTTGCAGGGAGGACTGAGGGAACAAAATGTAAGGTTTCTAAAAACTACAGCTGGATGGGGGTTCCTGACTCCCTCAAGCTGGTATTTTCATACAAAATACTAGAAAGGATTTTTTTTACTCTAAAATTTATTATTGGATTCCAGTTCTTGGGCTGGGAAGGTATCTTGGTTTCAGGTTTCTATAGTCTTACAGCATGACTTGGATCTCTTAGCAGGATCCCAGTGCAAATATCACTAAATAATTGTTATGATTATTAACTGTGTAACTCCACTGAGCTGTCAGCTGAGAAACAGCTCAGCTGAATGCGTATTTCAATTAAAGATGCAGAAGCCTGAAAAGCAGATTATATTTTAAATGTACTTCAGGCCATAGATATAACTTTTATTAGCTTTTCATTACCTTTATTATATTCCAATTTATCCTGGTCTCTAGCTCTAAAATCTCATTCAGTCCTTACCTGTATAAAGTTGCCGTTGTCTTCAGTGTAAGATTTTCTGGGCAACTGTGACTTTTTTGGTCACAGGGGATAGGCAGGAACTATGCTGAGATATTGCAGTGACTCTCCAAGGAAGAACTGATGGCATTTGCCAAAATGGAAATCCATCTCCCTGACAGATGCTCACATACACTTTACCTCTCTGCTTCATCTTTCAGTCCTCCTGGTGAGAATCTCTTGCAGATCAGGAAGAAAAGTGGTGCATGGAAGAGAGACTGCAGTGACTTCTTGTTTTGGTATTTAGTGCTTTTTGTTTTGACGTCGCAGATATATTTAGTAAACTGTCATCTATTATAATTTGTGTGAGGACATCTCCCATGTTTTGAGAAATGTACACTGTCCTGCATTGTCCAGAGTCCTTAAATATCTCTTTCATTTACACATTGGTCTATTTTAAAAGCAGCACAAGGGACATGTCCCCTCCCTTAAACTTTCCTTGAGGATCCCAAGCTACCAAACACTTGTGCAGCAGCAGGGCAGGCCTTTAGGCAAGTCCCCCTCTCCTGAGCAAACAGTTTGGCATATATTTGTAAACAGTTTATCTGGAAAAAAAAGGGAAATGCATGCTAAATAAAATGCTGTTGTGTTTTCTGACAGTCCCTTGAAGTGTAGCTCCAGCCTTCCCACAGTATTTGCCCCCTGTGACAGCCCCAGCTATTTTTGGCCATCAAGGCCCTGGAGCTGGGTGCTGGGGGACCTTCTGCTCCATGTAAGCACACGTGCTACCATCCTGTCATATGCAGGCAGCCACCAGCCACATGTACTGGGGTACTGGTCACAGGTTTGCTTGCTCATCTGCTGCCCAGGGTTGACCACAGAGCAACAACTTGCTCACAGTGTGTGGAAAAAAAAAAACCACCAAACATTCTTTTGTGTTTAGCTCAAACAAGGAGCTGTTGGCAACCAGCAGTCACCCCCACATCACATAGAAAGGGAATGAAAATTACAACAAAAAGAGCCCATAGTGGCACAAGGCTGGGGTTAAATCAGCGGGGAGAGTGCAGTGCTGCTGTCAGCCTGACCCAGCCCCTGCACAACCCCCCATTCTTCCCACAGCCTTACAACTTGCTGTCCACACCACAGGGATGCTGCATCCCACTACAGACCTGTCAGGCAGAGCTTGTGACCACATTGGCTGCCAGCCCTGGAGAGGAGCCTGGCTCAGAGACAGCTGGTCACATCTCCTGCAGCCAGCATTGGGCAGCCTTGTCCCTTCTCCTGACCAGGGTTGCTCCTCTCTTTATCTTTGCTCGTGACATGGACTTTTCCTGCAGCAAGTCCCAAATCTTTAACTCAGACACTACCAAGGCCGGGTCTAGGTGGGTAGTGGGGAGCTGAGCTGCCCCCTCCAGCTTTGGGCACCAGAGGAAGCTGCTGGACATCTCCCAGCTGCCACACAGTGAATCCCTGGCCCTTATTCTGCAGAAATAAAGTAAATGCTTTTTCTCAGTTTTACTTTCTGGAAATTACCTACTCTTACATAGGCCAGTGCAGTATCTTATCATGTATCACATACTGCTTGCCTGGGAAAAAGCAAGGAAGTACACCTTGCAGGCACAGCAGAAATTTTGTGATGATTGCAGTTCTTCTAGGAGTTATTATTAATAGGGCTCGTAGTGCATAAAATCCAGGACTCTCCTGTGGCAAAGGGGTAAGAGGAGCAAACACAACACCCTAGAGCTGGCAGCTGTAGTGGAGTTGTTATGGGTACCCATGCAGGAACTCATTCCTGC